AACCTTGATGGGCAGCTGTTAGTCTTCCTGAGCCATCCACTTTTTTCACAGGCCACACAATGTTATTGTATGGAGAATTCATTGGCACCGGGACTCCAACTTCTTATTTTTCATTAAAATATAATCTCTTTTTGTCTACCAGCTATCTTACACTGTGACAAATTAACAACCTTTGTGGACTTGGGCATTCTGAAGGTTCCCATTTAGCATGTCCAATTGAGATTGGCCTTAAGGTGAATTTGTATGCCTTTTGTTTTATGATACTAGGCAAGTGAAGTGTTCACCAATGAGATATTAGATCTGTCTCAATAATACATTCGGGTAAAGCAGACATAACCACTGCACATAGTCTTCTAGGACATTCCGATTTTAATCTAAACCTTCACCTTAGTCCTATCAACTGTTGCCTCCTCCCAGTCTAACTTGACAGCTGTTAGGACTTCAAGAGGTTTTGGAATCATAGTGCCTTGAGTGTCAAGGAGTTCCAGAAATGTCTCTTATCTACCCCCTAGATTTTTTTATCCACACATGTGTATATTGCCTTGGTTTCCCAGTACAGGGGTTGAGTTAGAAGATCCTGGCCTCTCCATCTGTCTTCATCTTGATTAATTAATCTGCCAGAGAATTGCCCAAGGCAATTTGAGGTCAGGTTTCTCATTGTCATCTTTGCCATCCAGCTTTTTAAATTTTTCCAAACTTAAATAAAATATAGCAAAATTAGTATAGGGGCCTTTAATATTAGGGGATTAGCAGGGTCTCCTCTTGTTACCCAATCCCCTGCACTATGTGTAGTGCTGTGTTAAGACTTTTGTTTCAACCCCATCAATGTAGCTTTATTAATCTCATATTTAAATAACCATCTAAAGATTTCCATCTTGCTGGGATAACTCCCTTGACCTCTCCTCTTTGTCTTTCCCTGTTTTCTTAGGAATCACTCTGATTTTCTTAGCATCTGTTAAGACCTGTAAAGAGAAGCTAAGACAATAAATCTGATAAGGCTCCTTGGATTGTTGCTAGATTTTGCAGTAAGGTTACATGACATGCCCATACAAAAGGGGCCCCCTAAAGCACAGTATTTATCATATATTGTGAGGCATACTCAGTAAATGACTATCCCATCATGATAGTGCCAGTCCAGCATGGCTTGCATAAAAAGCATATCACTTATTTATTCTGGGGATTTTCATTTGGCATTCATAGGAGGAGGAGGACAGTGGCCTTATTAGGGTAAACACACTTTACAGTGGCTTTTATCCAATCCACCAGGCTATAGCTGTGCCCTAGGGTATAACCTGCTTGTGTATCTGGATCATGTATAGCCATCTGTGGTTATTCTATAGTGAGCTGTGGGTCCTGTAGCAACCCAGCATAGTCTTCCAGTTCTTCAGTGTTCAAAGCCAAAGATACTGTGCCTCTCATTAATTACTCTCTTAATCCATTTTGGTGAAAGTTTTTCTTTAGGAAACTGACAATATTGATCCAAAAAAATGAGACAATTCCTTTGTACTCTACTCCCTGGTTTTAGTAGTTTCTTGGTTTTGTCTTTCCCTCACCTACACTACCTTCTTGTGACTAGAGATTGTAGAGGTGCTGTCTGATGTCCCAGCATAATTTTTCATTTTGGAGTGACCCTGAGACTAGTGGCTGTAGCTCAGACTGGCTCAGCTTGGCTTAGTGTCAGGATCTGTCTCAGTGCTCTGTTGTATTTTCATTTTAGCTATTAGAGACAATAATAACAAAAGGATTATTTAATTTTTTTCTTATTAGTTGCATTTCCTTATTTATCTGGCAATTCAGCTCCTCGGGAATTGGAGCCACCATTTCTAAATTCCATCAGTAACTTTTACCTCTGGTAACTACAGCTGCAGTTCTATAACATGAGTGACCAGGCAGCCCTCCAGGAATTAAAGTTTTTATCAGTTCCTACTGCTCCATCTTTCCTCTTCCCAAACCTCAGTATTTCCGTAAGCCAGGGTCATTCTAGCAATCCTGCTTCTGATGCCAACTATAAAATTAGAGAACAACCCACGAGACCCCTCTTGACTTCTGACACCAGTTGTAAGATCAGTATTCCCTAAGACTACATTCCGGTTTGATAGTTAGCTAGAATTCACAGAACTCAAAGCTATTTTAATCACAGTTATGTTTATTACAGCAAAAGGATACAGATTAAAATCATCCAAGGAAAAGATACACGGGGCAGAGTCCAGGAGAATTCCAAATGTGGAGCTTCCAGTTGTCTTCTCCCAGTGGAGTGAGTTGTGGACATCATTAATTCCCCCTGGCAGTGATGTGTGACAAAATACATAGACTATTCCAACTACAGAAGCTCACCTAAGCCTTGGTGTCCAGAATTTTTACTGGGGCTCTGTCATGTAGACATGGTTCATTGCCCCACATGACAGACCTCAGTTCTCCAGGACAGACCTTCCTGAGGTTGGGATACTGTGACACAAAGCTCCACTATAAATTATATTGTTAGCATAGACTATCTGGCTTGACTCAAGGTCCCCAGGTAAACAAACATTTGTATCAGACAGGACATTTCAGGGGCTTAGAGATTACTTGCCAGGAACTGAAGGCAAAGGGTAGACCTCTTTTTGGGCGGGGTTAAATTCTTTACTACACAATTTGTTATCTTCCACTCACACTCTGGCAGCAGGGACCCACCCATCCCCCAAGTTCTAAACTTCTCTTGCTTTTGTACATGTAACTTCTTAGAGGTGTTAGAACACCCTCCTTATCTGTTAGGAGAGCGGTTTAACCTTAAAACTAGTTCACTTGTGTCTGTTATCTTATACTTTCTTTTCCATCCTTTTCCCCCTACCCCCTCCTTCTATCTGGACTTAACACCTTTCAGGGCTAGTTCTTCAAGAGTCTCCATTTCTTGTATGCTTATTGATGGGAGAGTCAGGTTTCCCATCTCTTCTTGAGTCAATTATATAGTTGTGATAATTTATATTTTCTTAGAAAATCATCTGTTTAGTAGAGATTTAAAAACATTAGCTTTGAATTAAATAGCAGTAAGATTTTTATGAAGATCTGTGGCTATATCTTTCTTGTTTATGATGTTTTATAACTGAGTTTATTTCCTTATTGTTTATTAAGCTTGGCCATAGGTTTGTGGCTTTTATTAACCATTTTAGTGACCCAGTTCTTGAATTCATGTATTCTTTTTTTTAAAAGTGTTCTAATCCTCACAGTTCTCTTTTATCTTTTTCTCTTTTATCTTTATTAAATTTTTCCTTGCTTGCTTTTGCTATACTCTATTTAGATTCTTATGTTGAATTCTTAGTTTATCAAAAACATGTAAATTTTCCTCTGAACATAAATTTAGCTTCAGAATTCCATAATCATTGACTTATACAGTCTAGAATTACAGTTTTGGTTTTTCTTACACACACATACACACCCTCCTACCCTGTTCCCCCGCCCCCATGCTTTTTTTATTTTTTAAAGATAATTGCTACATAGTATAGTGATAAAGATGAATAATTGTGTTGTGTGTGTGTATATGTGTATCTTTTAAATGGAGAAAATATACTACCAACTTTATACGGTGGTTGTGAAGCTTGACTGAGAATTGTACCTGTAAAGTGCTTAGCATAGTAAGAACTCAGTTACAGTTTAGCCATTTATTCATTCATTCATTCATTCATTCATTCATTCATTTGGAGACAGGGTCTCACTCTGTTGCCCTTGGTAGAGTGCAGTGGCATCATCATAGCTGACTGTAGTCTCTAATTCCTGGACTCAAGCGATCCTCCTGCCTCAGCCTCCCAAGTAGCTGGGACTACATGTGGGCACGACTACACCCGGCTAATTTTTTCTATTTTTGGTAGAGACGGGGTCTTGCTCTTGCTCAGGCTGGTCTTGAGCTCCTGACCTCAAGTGATCCTGCTGCCTTGTCCTCCAAGAGTGCTAGCCCCAGTTTAGTCATTATTAACATTGCAGTTCACACATTTTCTTTTTTCTCTATCTTTTTAAAAACACTTCACTGACGTCTTTGGTTTACTTGGAAGTTCTCAAAAGGGAAAGTGGCTATAGAATTGTATAAAATGTTATACCTGAAACATTATTAGGTTTCTAGCCAAACCATGGGGTTATTACTCCTCCCTCTAAAAATTCTATTCATAATAAGGGAATAAAAAGGTATAGACTTATAAAGACTAAGAACAGGAGAAGAGACATGAATGGGGATTTCAGTCAGTTTTTTAAAAGCCGGGAAATGAATGAAAGATTTGTTGGCTCTGTTATTTGAACCAACTAAGGCCATACAAAGGAGATACAAAGGAAGGCAATCAGTTTATTTCTCAGAAATCTATAATAGCGCAGGACCTGGAGATGATAGGTATCACAGAAGTCGAGCTTCTTCTCTGGAGAAATAAAATCAGAGAGGCACTGGGTGTGGGGATATTAGGTCCACAGGGTGGTAGGGATGAGATACTAGGCTAAAATCAGGGAGATTAAGTGTAAAATCTACCCACTAAGATATGGAACCTTCCCCCTCTCCAGCTTGCTTCCAGATTGCCAGTAGTGAAACACTTTTTCATTTTACTATTCCTGCCTCCCTCCTTTTAGGATTTAGAGACCTTTTCATTCTGTGGAGAAAATTCAGAAGTTCAGAAAATTATTACAGTTCTCACAGACAACCAGTATGAATTACAGAAAAAGAAAATTTTGGGAAAGTATCAGATAATTAGTGCAAGAAATTTTTCTGAGAATAGTCACCAGGATGAAATGTTCCATTTATTGCCCAGAACAATTGTAGTAAAAAAAAAATAAAAAAAGACCTATATGGCATCATAAAATGATAGTACCCTATGGATTAAAATTAAGATGAACAAAGTTTCCAAAGATTAGGATTAGGTGACCAGCAATGAAATGGCAATCAAAATGGAATTTTCAAAATAGCAATACCAGGAACTAGAAGACAGTACAACAGTGACTTCAAAAATTGGGAGGTGAGGGGAAAAGATTTTCAACCTAGAATTCTATAACTAAACTATAAATCAACATGAGGATAAAATGTAGACATTTTGCAGCATGCAAGGATTCAGAAACTTTGGAAGCTGTGCACTTCCTTCTGGAAAGCTATTAGAGAATGCGATCCACCAAATAAGTTATTAAACCAAGAAAATAGAACATAAGGGATTGCCCAGAATGATAGCTGTGTAGTAGCTAGTTTAGACTGAAGCATGAAAACGGAGGACTCTGTGAAGGAGGTCTTCAGGAAAAAAAGGAACCATGTCTATTAAATTTTGTTATATGGGGTCATTTGAAAAATAATGTTGACAAGTTTGATATGTGATAGTTCGTGAGAAACATTAGAGATGGTCAGCATGGGGCAAAGATGGAACCTACACATTTGGAGAGAGTTTGTTTCTCCTGAAATGAATGAATGGTCATTTTTAAGACCACATTCTTCTTACTCTTCAGTCCTCATCTGGAGTGAAGATGGGGTCGACTAGCTGGAACTTGAATTTCTTTTCCATTGACAAGTTACAAGAGAAAGACCCAAACTCTATCCCCCCTCCCCTTTTTTTTTTACCACCACTGTTTTCAGCCTCTCCGTTGTTATTGGCCTTAAATCTACTAGGATTAATATTATTATGTCCTTTATCCTTATTTGTCTGTTACCCAAGAAAGTTTCACACTCCCAGGTGTCCCCTCATCTGTCATACTTTAATTCCCATAAGGGTGTGCATTTGCCCGATTCTGTCCCTCTCTTCCACTTTGTTCTCTGGAATCCATGGTTTGTCATCAGAATCTCTGTATCCTCAACCCTCCCTCCCTTTTATCCTTTTCTGTGCCACCTTTGCTGTAATGAATACTGCTTCCCCTGTAGCTGTCTTAACTGGTAACAGTTTTTTCTTTCACATCTCACGTATTCCTTGGCCTGGAGGTATGAGGTAGGTCTTCTCTTTACCAAGAAGAGAAGAGAATCATCTGTTTTTTAGACCATTCTTCCTCTTTCCTCCCTAAAAGTCTCCAGATTTTAATTTCATGTCATCACCTGTAACCCCTCATTGCTGCTGTCATCTAAAAACCCTCGGGTCATTCATTCCCCTTTATCTCTCAGACACTTTAGTTCCCAACTCAATGGTAAACTGTGGAATGCTACTATTACCTTAATTCCTGGCAATTTAATATACATAGATTCGATCCTTTAGATACCCTAGTCTTTGTGTTCTTTGAATTCCTTTCCAACATTCGTGTCCTTTACATGCCACGGCCACTCACACACGTGATCATATACTAGACCTTGTCATTTCTAATAATTGTGTTCAATTTTGAGCTTTCCTCTCTGTGACCACATCTCCTATCATTCCAGCTCATTCTGCTTAGTACCAGACTTGTACAATTATTCAACCACACAGTGATTTTTATTTTAATCCATTGATCCTACTACCCTTTCACTTTACCTTATCCCTTTGTGTTCTCACTTAACCCTTTCCAAGTTTAATGTCATGGCTAATCATTTTAATCACGCCCTTGCATTTAGCTTTGACCCCCTTATCCCACTTTTTGAACTAGCTTGGCAAAACCACAATCCTGATTAAACCCAACTTCCCTCCTGTCATGCTTCGTTTATCCAACTGAACATGGCAGGAGAAAAACACATTATGCCGTAATGATACCAACTGGTCTCATTCTCAATTCACGACCACTTCCCTCAAGGAGACGCTTAATGTTTGAAAATCATATTGTGCATTCACACCTTTCTTCCTCTCTTAAATGTTGAATATTTCATCCTTCATCTTCACTCCCAGATGCTGGCATTGCTTCCTACTTCGTTGAGAAAATCGAAATAATCAAACTAGAACTTTTGTAGACTCCTTCTGTCACATCTACTTCTCTACTAAAGCACCTGCATCTACATTTTTGTCGGTTATCGTAGTTGAACTTTATTCCTATAAAAAGGTGGATTTTACCCCTTCTCACGTAGACAAGGATTGCTTCCACAATTTGCCCTTGTGTCTGCCAAATTGTCAGTTTTTCATTTGCTAACAATTTATTCCTATCAGCATTTTAATATTTTGTTTTTCTTCCATTTTTAAAAAATGAAAGAAAACACAAGTCCTTGTTAGCCCACTTTGCTTACCAGCAGAGCCGTCCCTGTTCTTTATGGCAAAACTTTTTGAAAGGACTGCTTATAATCATGGTCAATTTCTCCTGTCCCATTCTCTCTTAAATATACACTTTTGACTATCAGTATCCTACCAGCATTGTTCATTTCAAGGTCATAAATAACCACTGCATTACTGATGAAGGTTATTTCTCTGTCATCATCTTAATACCTTATGTATGAGCAACATTTGATGTGTTTGATCATTCCCTTAATACATTCTATTTACTTGGCTACCAGAAGACCACATTGTTTTGTTTTCTACCACACTGAGTACTTCTTCTTAGTCTCATTTGCTTATTCTCTTGGTTCTCCTATGTTGGATGTGCCAGGGTTTACACCAGGGGTGGGGAACATTGTCGTATTGAAAGGCCACATTAATTTAGCTACAATCAATAAGGCCGCATTCAAGAAACTTCAGTTAGATATACTTAAAAATGTACATTATTTTATAAAACTCTTAACTACTATATACTTAATAATTTCAAAAAATGAAAACTATTTGTTAATTTTAAAGTTAACTAACCTTTTAATGACATTGTTGTGTCTGCTTTTTGTTGAAAGCATTTGAATATTTGGTTGCAGCATGGAGGTCCGCAGTTTCAGTTGATCCTCTAGATGGGTATCAGTCATTTGTGACCTTAAGGGCATCTTGATTTGGGTTAGGTAGGAGAATGGAGATTTGCAGCAATAAGTGGTTGAAAAGCAAGAAAGCATTTTTTGGGCATATTGTCGAAGGCGTGGGTATTCTATTGCATTTTTCCATATTTGAATTGGCTTTTTCTTAGTATCAAACAATGCTTTTAAAATGTCATCTACTGAGAGCTCAGTCAATTCCATGTGTAGTTCTTGAGATGCCTTGGTGATATCAACTAGGTAAGGCTGAAATGCTAATTTGAGTGGGATGTCATGATTCTCAAAGTCAGTGAACCTTTCATTGTATTCTCCAATTCATAGGTCTATAACAGCTGCATGTTCACATGATTCACAGGTATCAACCTGCTCATCAATTACCTTTGCTAACTGGGGAAAACATTCATCTGAAATTTCCTTTTGAAGAAGTGGTGTTTTCAAAAAAGATACCTTTTTTTCAAAATGCTTGGATTCTGGCCACGTACCATATATAGCCCTTACAAAGAAATATTCAAGTTGTTTTGATTTGACATATCACACAGAAATGCTGTATTCCTATAGAAATCTTGTTTCAATAATTCACATTGCTGATTCTGTTCTTCATAATGTTGCAGTATGGAGGGCGCGAACAGACCACAGGAGAATTCAATGAAGCCAAATTGAGAGTCTTTATTAGCTGGCCAGCGACCACCTCCGCCCGCATAAAAGCAGTACGAGAGGATGGCACCATCTCAAGTTTCTACGAGGGTTTTATACTATTTTTGAGGGAGGCTATGTGGCATAGTGCAGGTGTTCAGGGAACAAAAGCGGGGAGTGAAGTCTGGGTTGCAAGATACAAGGTCACAGGAGATCTCTGGCGCCCGAAGGCAGATTACAATCCTCAAAGCAAGCTGCAAGCAGGGTTACAGAAGCAGATGGCAGTTATTAGACAAAAGACTGTTCTTTCAGTGTAACACTTCAACTATGTAGCTATAATTTAGCCAGCCCCTGGTGTACCGCTTATTTCATTTATTAACCCCTTATTGTAAAGCTCTCAGCTCACCACAATAAAAATTTAACTATCTGTTCTTGTAGAGATGAAATTTTGGCTAACACCTGTCCCTGTGATAGCCAACACACTTTAGAATGATAAGGCAAATCCATACTGAGTACCTCATCATTCAACTTTAGCATGTTACAAACTGATGATGCCATGTTCTATTTGCACAAATATAGTTAACAATACTCGTAACTTATTGCAAAGTGTCACTTAATATAGTAGCTTTAGCACAGAGATTTTGCTGATGCGAGATACAATGGAAAGAAATGAAAGCATTTGGATCTGTTAATCCTTTTTAAAAATCTGTACAATAAACCCTTCACGTTTTCCTGTCATGGAAGGTGCACCATCTGTACATACACTCACTAAACTTACCAAACTCAGTCCAACTTCATGACATTTATCTTGAAAGTTGAAGATATCTATTCCCTGTGTTCTGTTTGCAAGAGTGCCCAAATTGAGTAACTCTTTGTAGCAAAGAAAATCTTCTGCTATGACCCGAAAGTATAAAACCTGTGCTGAGTCAGGAGTATCAGTTGATTCATCCAAAGTGATTGAATAATGTATGTTTTCCCTTTGAAGTATTGCATGAAGTTGTTCTGTTAAGTTGAAGGCTAATTTATGCTGCTGACCAGTTATGGTTCTCCTTGTAAGAGACAGTTGTTTGTACTTAAAATCATTATCGGGGTCTAAGCATCCTACAGCTTCAACAATGCATTCTTTCGCAATTTCTACATCACTGAATGACTCCCCACCCCCCACCCCGCCCAGTGTATAAGCTACTTTATAAGTTGCTTCAGTGGTATTATTTCCAGGTCTTATTGCTGTTTGAAAGAATTGTCTTTGCTTTTGCTTTTCATCTTTTAATTTCTGCAGTACAACCTTTC